AGGGATGCCCATATCTCCAGGTCCTCAGCCTTGGGGTCACCACTTAAAGGACTGGCTGTCCCTGGGTGACACACTGGGCTCTGAGCTGGTAGTGAGTGACCCCATCCAGGGAACAATGACAGCCAGTAGCTGGTAGAACCCAAGCTAGGAGATGGGAGCAGCTGCTGTAGGCTTTGCCGGAGCAGCACGTATTTTGGGAAGGGGTTTTGATGCATCTTCCCTCCTTTTCACCCTTGTGAGCCTGCCTTGGCAGCAGCGGAGCACTCCTAGCTCTAATCCTCTAACCATGAGCTTGTGGAGGAAGGGATCTGCCTTTTTCCCTCCTCCTTGCAGCTGTCTGATGTCCTTAGTCTCCTAGCCCTGGCACTGGGGACATTTGACCCTGGAGGCCAAAATCCTCCACACAAACACTTAGGAAACCTGGCTAATTTGGCACGAGTGATGTCTTGCATTTCTGATTTGCAGACCATCCTGCTTTCTCCTTTGAGGAGCCAAGGGACCTCTCCATACCTTGCCTTGTGGCACCAGCCCTCCTAAGACAACGGAAAGCATCCTGGTTCCCAGAAGATATTGCAGGATTCATCCATGCCACTCTGAAAGAGCAGCCCACAGAGGCTCTGTGTCCTCCACTCCCCACAACCTCCCACTGCATCTGTCTGGGATCTGCTGGTGAGCAGCCTGTGCCTGGGGACACTGCCATCTGGACCTCCTGGGACAAGTCCTGCACCAGGAAAGGCTGCAGGATTTGGCTACAGTGGGCAGCAGCTGCGGAGGGGAACGTGGCCAGGACCACCCTGTGTGGTAGCCCAGCCTCTGCCACCCTGCAAAACAGGGAGCATAGAAGGGAGGACATAGAGGAGATGATGGTTCCCCTGGGCCCTGCTCATCATGAGTGCCAGGGTGGAGTTTGGACCTCCAGCTTTGCAGATGCTCTTCTGAGACACTTTGGATATTCCCTAAACCTCTTCCTCCTAACAATTTTAATTATACTGGCTGCTGTTCAAAATAATAATGACAGGGAGAGGAGTCAATGCTAAGCAGCAGCCTGTCACGCTTCATGAGGTGCCCTCAGGGGACACTGGGCCAGACAAGCAGCCAGCCCAGAGTTGTGCCAGCAAAGTGGGTGCCGGCTGCCACACGGAACCAGCCACCAGTGGGCTTTGGGGTCTGGGCTGGCCTCTGTGTGAGCGTGAGAGCGTGTGCAGGCACTCGGGTCTCCTTTCTCTCCCCCTCTCTGTCTTTTATTTGCCTCCATAAAACATAGGAAGTTCAAGCCATTCATTTTTCTATTTGTGTCTCCCTCCCCACGCCCCGGTTCCCTCCCTTGCCCCCTGCAGCCTCTCAGCTCGCTGCTTGCCCAGCATCCTTGACCCCGAGAAGTCTGGTGTGTATGCACTTCCCTTTTGGCCCATGGAAAGCGCCACTCTGAACTGGTGCCTTGATAAGTCTGCTGTGGGAAGGCAGGGGCTCCTGGGCTCCCACACAGGGCTTTCCCATGTAGCGTTTCCTATGCTGTCCCTGCTCCCCCGCGCCATCTCCAGACCCGGGCAGTCTCTCCGGATGGCGGTGCCCCTCCCTGCCAGCAGGTCTGTCCCCTTCAGGATCCCGTGACTTGCTCTGTGTCAAAAGCCATGGCATGTGGAAGGAGGCCTTCTCCTGAGGAGGAGGATGTTTGATTGGCTTCTCATGGGCTGACACAGCACCTCTCAACTCACCTGCAGCAAAGGATTGCAAAGGGCTTGAACCCCCCGGCCCCTTCCTCTTGGCACTTTTGCAAGCAGAGCTCTGAAACACTCTCCCACAGAGTTTGGGATCAAAGGGATCTGTGTCCTATCTGCAAAGAAGCAAGCACGTGGCAGCAGACGGGACTGGGGTCAAGACCTAAGAGGGGCTGGAAACTGGGTTTGACTGGCAGAGAGGAGGAAGGAGAGGATCAGCAAAGAGGGCTGAGACCTTTTCTCTGTAATACTCCCCTCGAGCTTCTTTGCCAAGGGACGAGAGGCCCTTGGTGCATCAGCTGTGGTCTGGTGGTGTGCCAGAGGGCGAAGGCAGCGTGCTCCCTGCCTCACTGCCTCCATCACTCCCTTTGAAGCCCCCTGGACACCCCTTTGCCCTGTGCCATCAGGACAGCAAGGCCCAGCAGAGCCAGGTCTCCGGGGTTGCGCCCGCTGCTCCCGGCAGCGATGGGAGCACAGATAAGAGCCGCTCTCCCGCTTATCGCCCCATCAGCGGCGCTGCAGCGGCTCCGCTGCCCCACCGCCGAGCACCGAGCCCTGATCTCATCAGCGCACCGCACACTTGCAGCTCGAACAATAACCTCCTTCCCTACCCGACACAATTCCCAGAAATGCACAGCCTCCTGCTAAAGCCTCCCTGGGGGAAAGCATGCCAGCCGGCCTGTCGGCACCAGCACGGACATCACTGCCAGCCGCTGGCAAACGCAGCCTGCTGCGTCCCCGGCAAGGAGGTACCTCTGCAAAAACAAGGGTGTGCTGGGTGTGGTGGAGGGAGAGGCCAAATTGGAGTCCTTGGGGCCACCCAGGAGCTGGCCGTCCTCAGGAAGTACCTCTCCCTCTGGGTGTTCATGGCCAGGTGTGTTGCCCCTTCCCAACCACCCTGTTTGCAGCCCCTGGCTTGAGTGCTGTCACCCTGCTCACTCCTGATGCCTGCTGGGTTCACAAAGGGGCCAGGGGGAAAAACCAAGCCCGATTGCCTGAGCTGGGAGGGTAGAGACAGGTCTCTGGGTACTCCTCACCCCAGCGGGGAACTCCATCCTGGAGAGGCTTTTCTGCATCTCCCAGTATCCCTAAGTGACTCAGTCTGCCAGAGCCTTTCCTCGTCACAGCTGAGTAATTGCTATTGCCTCTTCCAGATTAAATATCTGGACACTCAGGAAGGCATGGCTGGATGCTCAAGGCAGGTATTTACCTTGCCACAGCTGAGCTGGGAGTGGGAGAGGGCCCCTTAAGCTGGCACAGCCATTCTTTCTCCAAGGGCTTCCTCTGGAACTCATCAACCAGTCTACCCATACACAAGGCCAGATGTGCCATCCAGGGAGGGGCAATAGCGGCCCTGCCTGCACAGGCAGGGGCACAGCAACAGACCTGCAGCCTCAGACCTCACAGGGATACAGCAGATATGCCAAATCTCCACACAGAAGGTGCAACACCAGCACTCATGGATGGGGAGCAGCACCTGTCAGGGCACAATGGTGTCCCCAGTGCAGGAGGACCAGCCTCGTGGTGTCCCTTGCACGGGATGCATTGTTCATGAAAACACACGGGGAAGTCCAAGGAGGACAGACTCGCTGGCTGCATCGGGCTTCCTGCCTCCTGGCCCCGGCCGCCGCCTGACATCATTGCTCCTGGTGGGAATGGCCACCCTGGCCCCGCTCGGTCCCTGACATTAGCCAATAATTTCCTGACCTCTTGTCCGGCTTTTCAGCCTCCTACAGCCCCCCATGGTGTGGAGGCTTTTATGCCTGATGTATCTGAGGTACATAGATCGCTGTGCCTTTTGCAACCGGACCTGTCTATCTCGCGTTGGCCTTTTTAGCCACCAGCGCGCTTGTAACAAATGTGGGTAGAGCCCTTCCCAAATCTTCATTCGCAAAGCTTAGCCATGAAAAATGATGAAAAATGAATCTGAGGTATATAAATATATAGAGATATAGATATAGATATAGATGTATGCTTGACTCCTGCCACCATGGCACGACTGCTGGCAAACCTGCATTTTCTTCCTCACTACCATGGGCACAAGGGAGGTGATGCTCCCTGTCACCTCACCATCCACATCCAAGGGTACAGGATGGCACTGCGCCTTGATCCCCATGCTCCGTCTGCTTTCCACCCCTCTGTGGGGTGGCTGGAGACCCTCCATCTTGCACTTTGGGTCCTATATTCCTTAAACACCCTCCCTGTGCCCTCACCAGTGTGTGGCATCAAGGATCAGGACCTTGCCTTGATCCCAGGGACACAGCACAACACTGGGGCTGGGGCAGGCTGAGCTGCTGGCATGTGACAGCCCCACGAGCTCCATCCCTCTCATCCTCCCATCCCACTCATCCACCTACAGATTCAGTCCAGACCAGGAGTATGTGTTCTCCAGAAATCCCCTGTTTATAATGACAGGGTCCAGGAAGGCTGAGGAGGTGGAATGTGGGGGGAAACAACACAGATGTTGGAAGGATGATTCCTCCTGTGAAGCACAGGAATGCACCATGCACCGGTCCTGTGGAGGCACTGACCTTCCCACCATCCTTGTATGTGCCCAAGTGATAACAGGGTCTGGGTGCAGCATGTGCTGCCTCACCCATCCATCCTGCACCCCTGGTGTGCGTTTTTCCAAATACATAGACTTTGTTGTGAAAATGTGGAGGATCCAGCAAATCTCAGGCTGTTGCTGCACAGCCTCCCTTGCCTTGCAGCCATGAGTTTTTTTCCCTGGGTGACTCCTCATGAGCAGAGCATAACCTTGGGCTGATGCACTGCAAACCTGCCCTTGTCCAAACCTGCTGCCATCAGCATTTTGCTGCAGCTGCTTCCAGTGCTGCTCTAAGAGTTTTTCCTTGCAGCCTAAACCCCCACCGCTGGCTCCATCCTTCTGGCTCCAGCCCACTGGGGATGGAAGGTTTCTCCTTCCCGAATACAAATATAACTGTAATCTGCTAAACCCTGCTGTTGATCCTGACTGCATCCTCCTGTCCTGAGCTTTCCTACAGTGCCTTTTATACCAGTAATAGCACCAGGCTCCTTCTCCCATCATTGTTGACTCGACAATGAAAACTGTTTGTATTATTGTGTCCCCGAAGCTTTGCCAATAGCACATGTGTCCCGAGCTGATAGCAACAGGCTTTGGCAAGGCTGCAGCTCCATCAGATAAGAGCCTTTAACCTTATTTCTCCAGCTTGAGCGCTCCACGAAGGGCCATTCTGTCGTGAGCTTTTCCTTATCCTCCCCGAGCACTTGCAGATCAGAGTGAGACTCCACGGGCCAAGAAGAGGGGTCGCTGGCAAAGGGCAGAGGTGGAGGTGTTCAGGGCAAGCAGCCTGGGAAACGGCTTCAGCCTGGGTGAGAGAAGAGCCCTGGGGGGAGATGGAAAGACAGAGCTGCTTTCCCAGGCAATTTAAGGGCCAAATGCACGGCCGTCCCCTGTCCCCTGCCTTCCTCAGGGACCCGCTCCACCCCGCCGTGCTCCACCTTGGCCCGGCTCCCGCGCACAGCAGGAGCAAAGTGGAGGAGAAACGCTGGAGCCCGGAGGCCCTCGCACGCTCCCGGCTGGCCCGCGAACAAAGCCTTTCCCTTGGAGCCCTTCCCTGCAGCCTCCCTCCTACCCCGGCCCCCTGCGCTCCGCCAACCGCGGGATCCCCGGCACCGGCACAGCCTTGGGGGTCCACACCATCCTCCTCATCCCACCCTGCATCCCTGTGCCGAACCCCTCCCTGGCTGCTCTCAGCATCCCTGAGCTCTGCTGCTGGGAGATTTCACTGCTGCTTTCTGAGCTGCAGCACAAAGGATGCTCTGAAATCAGAAAGTAAAGAAAACAGTGCTGCCTCTGGCAATGTTTTAAATCTCATTTTTAGTCCAATTTATGGGAGGGATGTCACAGTTCTTGGAGTTTTGAACTGCAAATGCTACATGTTCCATTTCCCTTCTGTTAATGCAGCATTGAAAAAGCAAAAGTTGTTCCTCTGCTGGCAGGGAGGGAAAACTCTCAGGTCCTTCTTTTTATTCTTAGCATTATTATTGTAATTATGATCTATTCTTAGTATTATTATTGTAATTGTTATTATCATTCTCTCACAGGATAGAAGCACTCTATCAAAATTACCGGGATACATCCTGCCTTTGATGGGGAGATTATTGTCTCTAAAGGGCCCAAGGAGAGGCTGGGCCTGAGGAGAAGCCCCATGCCCTGCACAACACATGAGGAAACTGAGGCACAAAGCCATCACAGCATCTACCCTTCTCTGAGCCAAAACTACTCTCTTCCACTGGTGTTTCCTTGTCTACGTGAAGGTGAGTTTCTCTCAGCAACATCCTCATCCTTTCTGCTGGATGGTAAAAGCCTTGGTGAAGCACAGAGGTGGCCACAAGATCCTGTGTGCAGTGGGGTGGGCTGCAAGTTTTGGTGAAGGTTGTCACTTCTAGGGATGCTGCAAAGGACACCCCTTCCTCCAGGCCTTGCTCCGGTGATGCTCAGAAACCAGGGAACCACCTTCCCAGGATCCTGTGAGCAAGTCAGCCCATGTGTGGAAAACCTGAGCAGAAAGCACTGGGTTGGGGCTTGCAGACAAAGAAAGGAGAGGGGAGAGAAGAGAGAGGAGAGAGGAGAAGGGAGAGGGAAGCACAGTGCAGCCAGCAGTCATCTGCCATCTGCAGCTGCCCGGTGAGGTAATGCCTCGTGCTAAGTTAAACCATGTCAGGAGCCACAGCAGCTCCTGAGAACAGCAAACCTTTCCCAGATGGAGATGTCCTGTGCTGCTGCATCAGCCTTCCCAGCAAGAAAGTAGATGACTGACCTTCCTACTGCCAGCTGGGGGGCCTGATGCCCACAGGGGTGCAACCAGCCACTCCCTCACTCCTGCTTCCCTGCTGCTGGAACTTCATTTTAGGGAACAGAAAGGCAATAACCAACTCAACCCTTGCTGTGAGCTCCTGAGGTCTGAGACACACAGCTGAGGTGTAATTGCTCTGTTGCCTTCCTTCATTCCACTCCTCTCCCCTGCTTGAAAGTGGCATCCTCATCCACAGTGGTTATCCATGGTGCTTCCAGCTGAATGATGCTCAGGGAGCAAGGGTTAAGCAGACACCCAGTGAGGCCTGGAGGTTGGGAACCCACAGAGCACATCCCTGGTGAGAAAAGCATCTGCAAAGTGGAGGCTGCACTTTTCCTGGGGGTCACATTGTCTCCTGCCAGTCCCCGAGGCTGCAGGTGAGGGTTCACCACTCCACGGAGAGAGGCCACGGTGGAGCAGCAACCGGCCGTGGTGCTTGTGGGCACATGTGGCTGCAGGGCCACAGATGGGCAGCCCTGACCCACCTCCTCAAAAATCCAGGCTCAGAAACCCTCCTAATTGCAGTTTTCCTTTCCCCAGCACCCAAAAGGAGGTCAGGCAGACCGGAGCAGCCAGCCTGAGCATGCAGAGGGAGCAGGATCCCGGTTCTTGGCTGCATCTCCTGCACAGACACCAGCGAGCAGGATTTTCTTCCAACTCAAGCGATGGAAGCAGCGAATAACCCTGGCATGCCCAGGCTCTGCACAGCCCAACTGTCAGCCAGCTGCCTGTTCCTGGGAGGATGCAGTGCCATAGGCAGAGAGCATTTTCTTACTGTAATCAAGAAAAGAAATTGTGCCGATCGGAGCAGCTGAATGGCAGCCAAATCTGCTTCTCGGCGGCTTTTCTACACTCTGTATTCATGTATTTGGCATGAGTAGCTCTGCATTGAGGTAATTCATTAATGCTCAACCAAAAATGTGTTTATGGGAGTCTTGAAATAGTTGGTAGAAGTGTAAGACTTTCCTTCCTAAAAGCCTGGGCTCTCTCTGTGATGGGAACCGGGTATTAAAGCATCGAGTGCTGCTGCAATCAGCTGCCAGGGAAGCGACTCCAGGCAGCGTGTGTGCACTGCATGCTCCAGCACGCTCAGATCCCCTTGTGCTGAAGCCTTTCCCTGGATTTAGTCAGGCCATAAGCACCGTGGGTGGGATTTGCAACAGCTTGGCTCGTGCTTGGGGTGTGGGTGCTTCACCCCAGGTTTCACAGAGAGCAGGTTGGAGAGCAAACACAGGGTGATGTGGCTGGAAGTGTGGCACCCTGAGCTGGTGGGACCATCACCAGAGAGTCAGGGCTGTGCCAGGAGGGGCTGTGGCAGGGCAAAGGCAGGAGAAGGGGAGGCAGGACAGCCCTGGTGAGGACCAAGGACTCTGGCCATCGCCCAGGAGGCTGTGGCGGCTGTGCCTGTGTGGAGCAAACAGCTTTTTCAGGTTAGCTGTGGGTTTCGCTGCTTGCACAATGGGTATCGCTGTTGTCGTTCCAGTTATAATCCTGTATAAACAAGGCTGACCTCTGGTTATTGAAAAGAGCTGAAAATAAAGACAACTTTCTCCGCTTCCTCGGATGCGGTGTCTGATTGCCAGGCTTGGCCGGCACAATCCTCACCGCGCTCCCAGCTCAGCTCCCGTGGCTGTTGGGGACCTGCCAGCATGGTTGGCAGCAGGGCAGAGCAGCAGTGAGCACCTGAGCAGAAAGCCACTGTGGCCCAGGACACCTTCCCTCTGTCCCCAGTGCCCTTCACTTGTCAGAGGGAGCTGGAAGCCAAGACAAAGAGCAAGTGAGCAGAAAACAGCTGAGCCAGATATTCCCTGGACTGGGACTGGCACAACCGCCCGCTCTACCCCACTTGGTGACAGTCTGGTCCCTGTCTGGGGACAGGGAGGACATGTCACCCTTGCACAGGAACATGGCTGCAGCCAGGATGCTCCTCACACGGATGCTGAACCGTGTCTGCTGGCGCCCAGCAGCCCCCGGCTGCCTCGCTCGGTGCTTTCCAGCTCTGCCTGACCCACTGAACTATTTGTGCCCGAGGAAACCAGGCGCTGAGCTGGGCCCTGGAGAAAGGGAGGCTCCAGTGAACACAGCATTTCCCAGCGGATGACTTCAGCCTCCCTGCAGGGCTCACACACAGCCCCAGCCTGGAGTCCTTTGCTCTCCAGGAAGTGCCTTTCTTTGGGAAGCCTTTGTTCCAGCAAGGCTGGAGCAGCCCCAGCCCCAGGGGAGCCCACAGAACCTACTGGCACGGGGGCACCTCTTGGGGCACTGGGGCAGCCACCAGCTTGGGCAGCCCTACAGCCCTACAGCCCCCCAAATTCCCTACTTCCCTCAGCCCCCCCAAGGATCCTCATCTCTTTTGGGATGAGGAAGCAGGTGCGGGTGTAGGTCACGTCCATCCCACCTGGCTGCACTGCTCAGGGTACCTGTGCAGTGTGGCCTAACAATAATTATTAGCTATAATTAATAACAGATCTCTTCCTGTGAAACATCTCATTCATCCAGTCAGACACACCACAGCACCAGCCACACACTAGTGGTAATTTTATGGTGATTAATTAACCAGCAGCATGAACACATCTACAGGTGAGGCTGGTCCATGTGAGCGAGTCAAGGCAGCGCTGGGCACCACAGGAGGGTACAGCACCTGCACCCAGGCACCAGGCCCAGGGACTCATCCTGCCCCTGCCCCTGTCCCATCACCTGCGCCCCTTGTGACCTGTGCCCTCTGCAAAATCAGGATAAAAAGCGATTTTCCTATCACAGTTTGTGTCCTTGCTGCTGCTGTGATGCAGGGTCCTGCCACCATCCACCTGCCACCTCTGTTATCTGGATGCAAATTTTGAGGGTAAATCCCTTGGATTTGGTTGCACAGCCCCAGCCTGGGGCTTCTGCACCAACGTGCAGCCGTCAGCAACAGAAATAACCATCAGGCTCAGCTGGTAATTCTCACTTTTCCCTTCTTGCCATCCCTACCAGCCCCACTTTGAGCCCCCAGATGCCCAACACCCCTTAGGATCGTCCAGGCGGTGCCACAACTATTTTTAGGCGGGTGGGAGCTCAGCGTTGGACCTGGCTGGGAGGAATAACCGGGAGCGAGCAGGCAGGCTGGGGGCGGGGAGGGAAAACGCCTTTGTGCTGGGGAGCCGTCCCGCCACGCTTCCTCTGCTAGGTGTGGTGCTGGGCTGTGTGGGATGCTAGGAAGGGAAACCAGAGGCCAGGGTGGGGTCAGCCAGCTGCCAGCTCAATAAAACTGAGGAGGGAAAGAAAAAAAAAATTGAACTAAAGAATACTCAACTCCTGAGAGCTGTGTGCCGGACTGGGGTCCAGCTCACCCGGCTCCAAGGCCACTGAGGAGGGTGGGGGGAGAGGTCACTCGGCTGGCATGCACTGATCCTGGCCCTGCCCAGGGATGTCCAGAGCTTCTTCCCTGGTCACTGCTGCAGATGCAGCTGGTGAGGAGCCAGTGAGTTGCCAGCACCCCACGTTGCATCCCCGTGGGTAGCAGGGGGAAAGAAGGGGGTTTATATGTCCATCTCCCTCCCAAGAAAAGCTGTGCCGGGCACAGACCCTGCAACTTCACCCCACACCTGGCTGGCTGAGAGGGGTGGCATTGTCCATGATGGCAGGCAGCACACCCTCTCCATGCCCCTCACAGGCTGGGTCAGGTATTTCTTGGGTGCTTTGCACCCAGGCATTTTTGGGTGCTTTACATGCTGCTCCATCCCCCTCACAGCTCTCCTTCCCCTCTTTCTCCTCTGCTTTGCATCCTCCAAAAACCATGCCACTCACCATGGCTCTTCTCCCCATTCCTTTTTTTTTTCCTTTCTATTCATTCCTTTTTTTCCTTTCTTCCATTTTTTTCCTTATTTTTTTTTCTTAATGGTGCAGCACCAACAGCAAATGCGTGCAGGAGGAACATCCCTACTGCAAGGCTGGGTTTGCAGACCCAGTGTGAGGCTGGGTTTCCTGTGTGCTTGGAGGTCAAAATGCCCAGTTTTTCTCCATGGGTGGAGAAGGTTCCAAACTACCCCGTTGCAACAGCAGCACTGCCCTGATCCCAGCCCCTGCACAGGGAGAGCATCCCATGGAGAGGAGGCCCAGGCTGGAGCAGCTGCACAGAGAGCATGGAGAGCAAGAGGCTCTGCCTGACCCAGGAGGGTTTGCCCCACTCTTAGCATCATTTCCAGGGCAAGCAAATCGGAGATGCCCCCACTCCCACCTTGCTGCAGCTCAGCCCCACCACATCCCAAATGTCAACTGGTGGCACTGGTTCCAATCCCAGCTCTGGGACGGTTCTGAGCCCACCCAGAGGCCGAGGATGCTGCCAGGGCCATGGGGGAGGCCATGGAGAGGATGTGACCAGGGAAAGCAGGACATGTTTGGCTGAAGCCTGGGAGAAGGGCCAAGATCAGTGTCAGGGTGATGTTCCTGGGACATCCCCAGCAGCTGCCCAAACTGACTGCCCCAAAGGCTGCTCTCACTTCACCCCACAAGCAGCCACAGGTCCCAGCCTGAGGGCCCCCAGCTCCCCCAGCACCCACCTTGCTGCTCCTGTGGCAGGAGTGAAGAACCAAAGCCTCCAGGGGCTCAGCTCTGGATGGCAGCAGGGGCTGCTCCTCTGGCATGGCAATGCTGTGCCTCCCTCTGGATGAGGGAGAGCGGACAGGAGGCTCCTTGAAGCCACATGGGCTCTCCCATGGACTGGTGCTGATTTGCTCTTGCAAAATATTAATAAGAAGCTGCAGGAACATGAAGGAAGTCTCGCCCGAAACCTCTGTCACTCCTGGCTGGTGACTGAAGAATAAGTGAGACACAATTTTTTCTTTTTCCTTTTTTTTTTTTTAAAGGCCTTTGTTTTGTTTAGGGTTAACAGCAGATCGGCATTTCCAAATCACTTCCAGACACACAGAAACCATGGCATGCAATACCCCACGGCTGCGAGAGGCTGGAGCTGGGCTCTTGCGCAACCTGGTGCCCCAAGTCTTCCTAACGCCGAGGTTCACATTTCAGGCTGGGGTCTGGGGCATGTCCACAGCCAGAGGGGGCTTGAGGGCAGCTACCCGGAGCTGGGACATCTTTCCCAAGTCAGCCCAATTGCCCGGGGGGTGTCAGAGGGCAGGGACAGTGAGCCAGCACATCTCCTTGACTGCAAACGGGTCCCGCAGAGTTCATAACTCCCCGGTGCCAAGGGCAGGAAGGACCTTCGGACCACCTAGCCTGATGCTTGGCGCTGCAAATCCCTGCTGGATGGCAGCCAAGGGAGCGCAGCAGTGACCTGGTGTCAGGGGAGGTGCTGCTCCGCCGCGGCTGCCGATGCCCAAGGTATCAGCATAGCCATGCCAGCTCCAGCAGCTCCAGAGGCTGGTTTTAGCTGCAATCACCTGGCTGCTGGTGAACCCCCCCTTCCACAACAGTCCCTAGAAAACAATTTTCATGCGAACAGTGCTTAAAATCAAGGAGCCATTTCTCTACCCCCTACCCCGGCATTGAAATTCCCACCAGAAAATTGCCGGGGGAAGAGGGCTCGCCCCTGCCTTTATCCCAGGGCTGATCCCGACCCCGGATGGGGAATGCTGGCCAAAACACGCACACGGAATAAGTAATGAGAAAAATAAATGTCGAGCCCTGAGCATCCCTGTGCTCCTGCGTACAGCCTGGCAGGCAAAGCTGAACACTTCCCTGCACCGTGGGTGGTGGGAGGCAAGGGTAGGGCACGGAGCAGAAAAGGGGCTTGCAAAATAAATAATAATTAAAAAAAAAAAAAGAAAAAGACAAAAAGAAAGTCATACAGAAAGGCAGAGAGGCATCCAAAAGACGTGAAGAAAGAAAAAAAGAAAGAGAGAAAGAGAAGGCAGAGAAAAAATTAACAACCCTCCTCCTTGGAAGGAAGAGAACTAGGCAGCAGCGTCCCCATCGGTCCCGGCTCGGCCCTGCCCGGGTGGCTTTTCCTGCTGGTGCCTGGGGACGCCCCCCTTCCTCCTCCTCCTCCTCCTCC